AGGTTTTGGGGAACATTTTATATATAAAACATTATAATATTATAGACACATTTTACAAGGCTTTTTCTAACTATATGAATTTAGTTTTCTGCTTCTGATCTAAAGTTTTTATAAATTATTAATCTCTTAAGAATTTTCTGAAGAGCCTATAACTTGAGTTTAAAAAAAAGTAAATTTGTGTTTTTATTGTTAGTGTGGCACAATTTATATTTGTGTATATATTATGTATGTGTTTTTTCTACCGACCTCTTTTGTGCAATTTTTAATCTATGTGTATTTTCAGTTGCTAAATTCCATTAAGGGGAGCATTATACTAGTCTGGAAATCAGGAAATGAAGATTTTACCTGCAAACCTTTTAGTGCATTCTTCATTGGGGAAATAGAAATAGATGCAACATGGCTATCTTTCTCTCAGGATTTTGAACTACTCCAAGGATAGAGAAGGAAAACAGCAATATTTGTAATGATTCCCTATTTCTCTAAAGTGGGTTTCTTTATTGTTTTGGTTTGTGTAGTATTATGGACCAGACTCAGGGGCACTCAACCACTGAATGAAATCCTCAGAACACTGTAGTTTGTTTTTTTCAAAAAAATTTTCTTTTGTACAGGGAATCGAACTTGGGCCCTTGAACTTAACAAGGCAGGCAGTGGAACCACTGAGCTAAATGCATGCCCCCCCCCTTTTTTTTTCAATTTTGAGACAGGGTCTTGCTAAGTCGCTAAATTGCCCAGGTTGGGCTTCAGCTTGAATCCTCAGCCTCAGCCTCCCTGGTATCTGGGATTGCAGGTGTGTGCCAACAGGCCCAGTTTGAGGCCATTTTGTAAACAGGTAGAAGTAGTATAACAACAATTTTGTTATGCAGTAGCGTTACAGGAGGATCTTTAGGTTGCTAAGGACTTTCATTTTATGCTTTGCTTGGTGTTTAATGATGCGAACGTGGTAGTAGAAGAAATATGTTGGAGTCGTAGGTCAGTTGTGAGGACTTAAAGCTTGCTGTGATAGTCTTTTTTATTTTTGTTTCGGGTTTTGTTCATGGGAATTGTGCTTTAGTTTGTTCCCTAAATAAATTTTCATTAAAGAAGCCTTTTTCTAGTAGGCAGCACTGATTTCAGAGAATGCCTAGGATGGGTGGGTGGCCCTCAGGACTATTCTTCAGCAAATTAACCAGTAAAAGCACGTCAAGCCTCAGTGTTCAGAATAATCTTTACCTTCTTGTTCTCATTGGCCACTTGAGAGCCTATGATGAGTGGGTATTGAGAAATACAAACCTATATCGTTTCTTGCTTTAGGTAAGCTTTTTTGTTCTCCTGTTTCATATTATATCGTCTTTCATTAAACATCCTTCTGCAAAAATGAACATTCTCTCTGTCGTTTATTCATTTAGACAGTCTTGCTATGTAGTCCAAGCTGGCCCATGAACTCTAGATCCTTCTGCCTCAGCCTCTTGATTTCTGGGATTACAGGAGTGCATCACTGTGTCATGTTCCCTCCATCAACTTTTTATTTTATTTTTGGTACCAAGGATCGAACTCTGGACCTTGCACTCGGGAGGCAGGCGGCTGCACCACTGAGCTAAATCACTGGCCCCCCATCATCTTTTTGAATGGGCTGCAGGAGCCTGTGACATCACTAGGAGGGCTTGTGACATCACTAGCTGCTAGGTGGTAGCAAGTATCAGGTTACTCTTTTGGCAGGAGAAGAGGCATGATGGGAAGATGAAGCCTGTCCTTTGTTTCGAGAAGCCATATTTTATTTTATTTTATTTTATTTTTTGGTACCAGGGATCGAACTCGGGACAGTTAGCAGGTGGTGAAATCACTTAGCTAAATCCCCAGCCCGAGAAGCCATGTTTTAACATGGAGGCTATTTCATGTGGCAGCCATCTTAAGGCAAGGGAAGTCTAACACTCCGGTCTGCACAGTGCTGTAGACTCGTTTGGGGATCCACTCAAGGACTATACAAAGGTGCCTTTGTCCTTGAACATGGCCTCCCTATTCACCTTTACTCCTTTATTGTTGAGGCACTTTTCCAGTATTTGAACCTCTCTGCCGGATGAACAGAATCCTGAGGTTGCGCTCTGGGGAATATGGCAGTTTCCTTTTCTTATGGGGGCCTCCAGAAATTTTGCTAGGTTATCAACTCTCCCTTTGTGGATCTTGGCCAGTGTGATGGCACTCTAGGCTCTTTCCCTAAGGCCCATTTAAGGGATTTATTCTGTAAAGCTTTCTCTGCCTGTCATTCCTGAAAATACTCCTGCATTGAGCTAGCTTTTGGGTAAAAGAAGAAAACAAATGAAAGCTCCCAAGTTTAAAAGTTAGATTTTTTTTTTTTTTTTTTTTTTTTTTTTTCTATCATTGGGGTCCACTTTTTTTTTTTTTGTCAGACATGGTGATGCACAACTCCATGAGTGGTGTATCCCACCACTCTGGGAGGCTGAGGCAGGAGGATCAAAAGTTCAAGCCCAGCATGGGCAACTTGCTGATTTAGGGAAATCCAGTCTCGAAATTAAAGAATGAAAATAGGGCTGGAGGTGTAGATTGTAAGAACCAAGTTCTCAGGTTGAGGTGGGCTCCCTCTGTGCCCCTTGCCCAGAGCAGAGCTGCAAAAATACCATTCTGTATGACAGTCTCCCTGTGTTGTTCCTCTCTTTAGGGCAGGCTGTCTTAGGGCATCTCCACCCTGTTTCTGTTCCTCTTTTTATGATCCAAAGATGAATTCTCCCGGCTTAAAATAATTTGATTTAGCCAACATAGGTATTAGTCATAGCTTACATAGGTAGCCACCTGCTGACATCACTGCTTATACATGTAGTCTTTGTTAATTATAGAATTTGTTTAATCAGATGTTCTTTTAAAAGAGGAATTGATTCTGTGAACATAGGTATTAGTAATTTTCCAGTAAGTGCCCTCCCAGTACCCCTCATATATCCGAGTAAGCGGAAGATAAAAATAGGACCTATAAAAAGGAAGAGTCTCCCTAACCCTATATAATCCTGCCTCAAAGATGGGTCTGGGCTCTCGGTCTGAAGCCGCGGTGATGGTGACACCCGCCGGTCCAGGCTCAAGCTTGCAATAAACTCCTCTTGTAATTGCATAGGACCTGACTCCTTGGTGGTCTTTGGGGACTTTGCGACTTGGGCACAACATAGATCGGTGTGAAGGACCTGGGTTCAATCTCCCACTTATGTGTGTGTTGGGGATAAGTCAGACTTTTTTTCTTTAAAGGTGAGCCATTTTTCCCAACAGGCCTAGAACAAAAACTACCAGGTCCCTCCCTCCTTATCTCAGCCCAGAGGAAGAAAAAGGATATAAAGATGCAGGAGTTCAAAGTCCACTTTCATTTCCACAGGGAAGGGAGGGAGTAGAAGAGGGCTGAGAGGATGAAGCAAGCTTGGAGTTGTCCATGGAATCATTGTATTTCTTCCCCCTTCTCTTTCTTGGTTTAAAAGGCCCTTGTGCAATTGGACACAGTGAGATGCGGACTTGTAGTAAATTCTCTCTTCTGTCTGCTTGGTGGTAGCTCGGAATACAGCTTTTTTTTTTTCCTCTTTCTCTAAAATAAATGGTCTTCACTTTTGGAGAGCAGTAAGTATTTGGACCTGAGCAGCTAGTAACTTTCTTCTGGATTCTATAAGTTGTGACTCAAACTTGGAACTTCTATATCGAAGCCAGATTTGTGAGTTTTCAAATTCTTCTCCTAAAGTGTTTTTTCTTTTTCTTTTGGCCAACGAGCCTCAAATCTATTTCTCAAAGTGTAAACAATATCTCACAATGGTGAAAATCTGATTATGAATTAGTTAATAGATGATACTAAGGATTGATTTGTTATTAATTTTGGTAGGCATGATAAAGGCCCTTTAGTTACACCTGAAAGTATCCGTTATCTTTAGAGGAATTAGTGAAGGCATTACACAGAGAAGGCGGGTTGGGTGTGGGAGCCTGGCTGAACCAGAGCGACTCCATCTTGATCAGCAAACAACCTAGAGACTGTCGCTCCCCCCCCATCCCTTACAGGATAACTAATGATTAATTGTGAATTGTTAGGTGGCTGTTTTGAAGTAGCTAGGAAACTAGGTAGAAACTGTAGTGAACACAGAGACCCAAGGCAGGTCACGCCACTCCTTGCATGCCTGTAGTCTGAATGTTCTGAACTTTATGATGATCTAGGTTGCAAATGGAACAATGGATAATCACTCTGCTGATCATTAGTACATGACGACCACTAGCTCAGATCAACTGACTCTTTGCCTTTGTCCTTTTCCTGTAAGTTTTAAGTGTAAACCCCCCTTTTCAGCCCTATATAAAATGGCCTCTGTTTCTTAGCTGGCCGCCTCTCTGAGCTACTTGGCTTGGGGAGTGCCGTCTGGCCAGACTAATAAAGGTCTATTAGCCAACTTGCCTGGTGTGTTCCTTCCTGGGTGACTCTCGCTATCGGACAAGCTCCTGGAGCCTCGCTGAGCTGCTGAGCCCAGCATCGTGAAGGCCTCTTGGCTGTTCACGCTCCAGGAGTAAA